AGGGATGTGAGAGACTCCACATCTTCCAGAGCTTTTCCATCTAGTGTGATTGGGTTGGCATTGTATTTAAGGATCTTGCTTTTTCCTTTGTGTATACTGAGGCCTACAGATGCAGAGGCTGCTACTACACTAGTTGCCTTCATCTGCACTTGTTCGTGTGTATAGGATAGAAGGGTTAGGTCATTTGCGAAGTTCAAATCGCGTAGTTGCATCCAAGCTGCCCATTGTATTCCGTGCTTTCCCTCAGATATCGAGGTCTTCACAATCCAGTCAACCATCAGAAGAAAGAGAAAGAAGGAGAGTAAGCAGCCTTGTCTGATTCCGGTCCTCTTGTGCAATTCATCTGTCAGCTGTCCTCCATGCACAACTTTGCAGTGTAGTCCGTCGTGTGAATTCTGTATGATGTTGATAATCTTATCAGGTACACCATAATGTCGAAGAAAGTTTCATAGGGTTCTCATATCCACGCCGTCAAACGCCACAAAGTCAATGATGTTTATGTATAGTGACGAGTTCATTCAACTGAATGTTCAACGATGATCCGTAGTGTCGCGATTTTGTCTGTAAACGACCGATCTTTACGGAGTCCAGTCTGTTGACCTCGAATTTCGGGATCTTCTGAACCCTTCATCCGGTTCAGCAACACCTTCGTGGTAGTGACAGCATGCTTGCGGTTACTTCTGTGTCTAACTTCAGTGCTTCAGTTGGTATGTTGTTAGGTCCTTCTGCTTTCTCACACTTGATTCGCTTGATGACCACACTGATTTCTTTGATCGTTGGCGGGGTGGCATCTATCGGAAGGTCTGTAGGTGTTGCTTCAATATCCGATGGGTTTAGCTGGGCTGGTCTATTCAAGAGTTCCTCGAAGTGTTCTACTCATCTGTTTCTCTGTTCTTGGATCTCGATGATTGTATTGCCTTCTTTGTCGCTGACCAGTCTCTCTAGTTTACTATATTTCCCTGCAAGTTTCTTCGTCGTGTCGCATAGTTGCTTGATATTTCCTCCTCATGTACTTTTTCCGTTGTCGTTTTTAGCTTTTCCACGTATTTCTGCTCGTAGGCTCTATTGCTCTTGACTCGTTTGTTTGCTTCTGTGTATTCAGCTTGTGCCTTGATATTCTCTGTTCTTGTTCTACTGTTGTTGATGGCTGTGCTTTTGTTCTTCCTTCCTTGAATATTTTCCAGGGTTTTTGTGGAGATCCACTCCTTGTAATGATGCTTCTTTCTATCCAGAACCTTTTGACACGTTGAAATTAGTGTTTCTTCAATCCATTTCCAGCTTTTCTCCGTAGCAGTTTCTTCCTTTTTGAGTAAATCTTTTAAGGCTTGTGACCTGTTGTTGAGAGCTAACTTTAATTGTTTGAGTTTGTCAATATCTCGTAGGAAAGCTGTACTGAACCATTTTACTGATGTTTGTCCGATTGACCAGTGTTTCTTGAACTTCAGCTTAATCTTGGTCACAACCAGGTGGTTATCTGAAGCTATGTCAGCTCCTCTCCTGGTTCTCATGTCTTTTATTGTTTTTCTAAACTTTCTAGTGGTACAATTATGATCTATCTTGTTCTTCGTGATGAGACTGATATAGCTTTGTTTGTGCGTCTGTGTAGGAATATTGCGCTACTTATAACCAATTTGTTAAATGCAGATAGATTCGCACATCTCTCATTATTGTGGCTTCTTTCTCCCAGTCAGTCGATGTCGTTCCATGATATCTTCCTAACTGTTGTTGTCGGCCTGTAGTAAGAACAACCATATTTAATTTAAATATGATGTATTTTAATTGTGCTAGAAAATATTGAATGGCTTTGTTTCAATTTTCCCCTGGTAACCAATGTTTTCAAAGTCATTTATCCATATGAAAGCGATGTTGAGCTAATATTGTTGTCATTTTAAAAAAATATGTACATTTTAATTAAATTCGTGTCAACTACTTTGGCTGTTGATAATAATAAAGAAATATTATAGAAAAACGATGTATCAGAAAGTAATGTAACAAAATGTTCACTTTGTTTTATAGTTCAGTTAGTAGAATGATTTGATTAAATTTGATTCCATTAATTTTATCCAATTTTGTCATTTATGTCTAGTTACAACTACTATATGTATTGCATATTGTCGACTAAAATCAATGTATTTTTTAAATTGGAACGTTAATGATGGGTGCTCCTTTTTATTGGGAGTTAACTAATTTGACTTGTACTGTCAAATTTAATTTTGAACACTAGTTTAAGCAAATGATGAAGTGTATTTCTAACATTCAAAAGTGGCATATATCGATTTGTGAAGGTATTTTTAAAATTATAGCTGAAAATACTCTGTTCATCCTCAGTCATAAATTTGTGATATAAGTTTAACTTTTTAAGCTGCAAATATAATCCCGTCGAACTCCTTCTCATCTTTCAGAAATCATTCTTTATATGCAGCAGAAGTCACAGAAATATGCATAATTACACCTTTGTGTACAAAAATTGTTTGAACATACTATTAATTTAACCTGACTTAACATTTATTCTCGTTAACATTTCTAGAACTTTTCAGTTTCTCAATTTTATCAGAATAGGGGTTTGTGGATATTATAGTAAGTTTAATAGTTGAGATCATGATTCATTTGAAGCTAAACCACTATGGAAAACCTAGAAGCACTGGACGGCCGTTTCGTTCTAGTACGGGGCTCCTCAACAGTGCGCATCCATGATCTCTCGCGTGGGGTTCGAACTAAAGACCTCCGGTCTTGCCAGCGAACTCTTAACCTCGATTTTAATTTCTGATTTTATTCCTACGTAGTTAATCCTAATAGTTTGACTGTCTAGTTTTCTTTGTACCTTTGTTATTAATTATTATTTTACAAATAACACTAAACATTTATATTTTGCTGGTTATTTTCAAACTGACTCCATCTCTATTCCTATTCTTGCGCAACGATTAGTAATAAGTAGATGATTGTGTTGTCTTGTTTTATTTTTAATTTTACGTAGTTTGAGTTGATAATTGATTTTTTTTTCGAGAAAACAATGGAATATGTTGGTAAATTAGTCCATCACTATTTGTTTGATATAGTTATTGATTTCATGCTTAATTTTGAAACGTATTTGTTGATGTGGAATCGTGATGAAGAATCAATCGGTAATTAAATTCCATCGCTGAACTTGTATTCTCAGACTATTACAAATGATTAATCTTAATGTAATACACTTAACATTATACATGATGGTTCTTAGTTGAATTTCTAGAGAAATCACCAGTAAATACTACTGGTAAGCACTGAACAGAGATAAAACTGATTGTCAGTAAGTTCTACGTCTTTAACGCCTTACCAGTTAATGTTAGTTCGTTATGAAAACAATCCAAATGATTAAGATATCAAATAAATAATAATACTTCAGTTTACTTTCATTTAAAGACCTTAACATTCACAATCCTTTTTAAGATTTTGTAAGATGAAGATACGTTTAGTCAGAAGTATTTGTAAATATGATATAATTGCCAAATTAAAATTGTTTTTTTCTAAAATACCAGTTCCTCAATAAGAATGTATATGATTATGTATACCTATTGTCTGGTACATGTCTCATAAATTGCAAGTTATAGCTGAAACTTGTTATAAAGTAATAATAATAATAATAACAATAATAATAATAATAATCCATTGTTGTGCAATTATATAAATTAATTTTATCATTCAAAGTAATTAATTGTTTTTTTCCTGATTAATACACAAGAATTTATATGAATGCATATATATATATATATATATATATATATATATATATATATATATATTGATGGAGTTTTGTTCTCTGAGCTGGATGGTTTGGTCGTGGAGCCTCTTACTGAATGAGAACTAATCACCGTCGAGGTGTACAGAACAAGCTGGGGAACGTATATGGAGAAATTCGAACACTTCACTTCTATCTGAAGTTTGTGCTGATGATGTCGTTCAGAAGAACGATGAAAGCTCCACGACCAAACCATCCAGTTTAGAGAACAAAACTCCATCAAAATCATCCACCTGAGCCACAAATCTTCTCAACCATCTCAATATATATACGTTTAATTGTTTAAACAGGAATTGAATTAATTATTTCTTTATTATATTTAGGTTTTTTATGTATGTCCATTTAAATCATTTTTTCTATGAGTTACCTATTTTAACATTTTCCCAGGCAATGGGAAAACTTTTTTATGTCTAAACACTTACATGTTTGTTAGATTATACACATAACTGTACATATTTGTGCATATAGTTCTTGTTAAGGGTTATACAGAGTTTAGATTATAGCTTTTTTTTGCACTAATCCATTTGTTTATGTAAATGTGTGTACACTTATTCATTGTAATGAGGAATAATTACTGAAACTAGTCATAATATCTGTTAGGTTTTGTTGACATATATTAAAACTTAATAAAGTCTCTTGGAGACGTAATAGATTACTTTTAATGATTACACTTGATCAACTTATCTTTAATTTGAATGAAATTTTCGTTTTTTGGTAAAGAGCACATATTCTTTATTTCAGATTTAATATTGTTACGTAGTGGAATTCTTTGGTTCTGATTTCTTGATTTATAATTTGAAAATATATTGTCATACAGTTTTGTGCTACCATATGGATTTTCTGGCTTACGATGGTTAAGACAGCTGTTGAATTATAGTATGGTTTTAAACGTCATCTCGTTAACGGCAGAAATGATCACTGCAGTGTGTTAATTTGTAATCGGTTGGACTTAGTTTTCATGAAAAATAAATATCACGTTTTTTTAATTTTGGTTTAAGATTTGTTAAAAAATATTCTGAATTCATGTCGTTCAGGTTTTAGTACATGCACGATATTATTGATTCAGCATCCAGTAGTTAAAAGTTTTCAAATTATTTCACTTTGATATTTATCTTACCCGAAGATAGTCGTCCTTTAAACTATATTATAGAGAGACTGTAATTTATAGCATAATATTGAGCTAACTTTAAATTTGGTTTCCTCAGAAAACCTTAATTACTGTTTTATGTCAACATCATCATCATCATCATCATCATCATCATCATCATCATCATCATCATCATCATCATCATCATCATCATCATCATCATCATCATCATCATCATCATCATCATCATCATCATCATCATCATCATCATCATCATCATCATCATCATCATCATCATCATCATCATCATCATCATCATCATCATCATCATCATCATCATCATCATCATCATCATCATCATCATCATCATCATCAAAATAAGCCTGTAATAAACAGAGATAAATCGCTGGGAAAAAGTTTAAATGATCATTTCGAGAAAGCGTGACAAGTGTATATACGTTTCAGCTTAGTCAAGTCGCATATAATTATCTTCTAACTACTTTAAACCTGAAGTAATTTAAATTTTTATACAAATATGCATGATATTCTTATTAGTTGTTGTTGTTGTTCAGTGACTCTGATACTTTAATTTAGTTGAATTATTTTATTTTGACTAGTAATTTTGTATTATTTAAAGAGAATGTACCAGCAGTTATTGTTGATCACAGGGATTAATTAGTTTAATTATGTTTTGTAAAATAACAAAATTAAAAATTCTTTTACGTTGTTGTTATATATGTTTCAATAGATGTAAATAAAGTTGTTTTTGTTATCATCTATTTGTAACCTTATTAAATTGCTAATTTGCTCTTCTTCATTTGACAATTGGTTATACAGAAGTAAACCATCAATATGTGGAAGTTTGATTATCAAAGGTGTTATGTTCTTATGTTCTGGTTAATATATCACGTGATTCGATCGTCGATTAGAACAACAACTTACTGACCAGACCAATGATGCATAAACCAGTATGAGCAGTTCAAAGTCAACTTTGAGTTCTTATTTGTCCACCGAGATAGTAGCTTTTCGCCTAAACCAGCCGGCTTAGTTCAGAACATCAATATCAACCTCCACTATACGAATCATATATTTAAAAAAGTTACTTGGTTTATATACAAACGAAGCAAACCGCATCATACCATAAAATAGAAAATAACAATTATACAAGATCAAGCCCAAAAGTGGCTGTGACTTTGAGAGACTGTTAGTAATAAGTTGTAAATATCTTAAGAATAGTAAATCGTGTACTAAAAGCCGATAAAACAAATGAAAGCTCATAATAAAAGGAATATGACTATGCATATAATATATTTACTTATTGCTTATACATTAAAGTATATAAAATAATAGTCCACAAATAGATCCTAGCGGTTACTATTCACTTATTCTTCGGACATAACAAAAGGTAAAATGTTTAAGCTTGGAACTCATCTCTATATATTAGTTCAGTAAGGGTTTATATGCGGCGACCTATGTGAGTAATCCTGTTTTTCTTTATAACCGGTCTCTCAGATTTTATTAAGATATTCTGTAATACTGTATTAAAATACATTAGATTGTCCCCACTTGTGTTCTCATTCACTACACTAGTACATTGGATATTGAGTTCAGCTCTCAGACTGTAGTGTTATTTGTTTGAAGAATACTCATTCGATTGACAGTGATATGAAATAATTGTAAATTTGAGAAAAAAATATAATGTAATTATTCCTGTCAGATTTATAATGATATCTACTTATGACTTTAAAAAGTATAGTCACTTATACTTCTTATTGTCTGGCTGTGTCAAATTCAATTCTAGTCAACCATCAGTGAAAAGCAATCGATAGCATAGTAATAATGTGTGCGTATAAGAATAGTTCATAATAGAGGAAAACATCTAAAGTAGAATGTAAGTAATGGAATGTAAGTAACAATAGACTGGAATAGTCTTAAAGCTAAAATAAATTTGGAGTTTATAATGTATTGCTATTCACTAAGGAGTTTGTAAAAGACAAATACACACTTAACTAGAGAGATTGCGTAGTATATGATACTTAAAATTATGTAGATTATTGAAAAGAATGATAAAGTTTCTAGAGGATGAAAAGAACTTTAATTATGGAATAGTAGTTCTGGAGGTGTCACATTAAGTCATTGCTTATTAACGATTGAATTGATGTTCAACCTCAAACTACATTTAGTTTGTAATGATTTTAATCTTCCTTTGTACAAGCTGGTGGCCATTTAGATTTATTAGCTCAACAGACAACCAAGTGAATTTTTGAAGCGAAAGGTATTGGCTTCCAGTCTTAATGTAAGCATCAACACATCAACGTCTAACTGACCAATCTTGAATGAAACAAAAGGTACTTCCTGGACACTAGTGGTAACCACTATCTTTCTTTACTTAAATATCTATAATAAACTTTAATTACTCCCACTTGACTATTAAATAGTTCAAAATGACGAAAGCACAATATTCAACGTTTAGAGACATTAATAAATTTTAATAGCTACCGGTTTAAAATAATTAATTATTTGTTTCAGTAGGTTATTTATCAAACTATGGTTTAATAATTCATGATACCCCATTTGACACATCCTACCAGGTAACAAATGTTAGTAAAATAAACATGTAGATAACTTTCAAAGCAGTTGGATGAACTTTGAGCATACTAAATACTGATCACTAAGAATTGCACATCAGTTTAAACACTGGTAGTTATGCACTGAGTTATATTCAATTTTGAATGGTTGGAAGAATAGGTTTTGTAGCATGGCCTGCGTTTTAATGGTTGTGCGGTTGATTATCCTCAGTTTGACTTTATCCTTAATTATAATCTAAGTTTTGATTTGCGAAAAGTCAACAGTGAGCATTACTAATCGATAGAGAACTGAGATGATTCAGCAGTTTGACGGACTATTAAATAAATTTGATTCTGTGAAAGATTATATTCTATGCTGTTTACTGAACACATTTTATCAGGATAGGATTTCTGTAAGGGTTAAGCTTATTAATAGAGAATCTATAAATCTACTCTATAATCTAAGAATACTGTATTGTATTAAGCATATAATATTGAATAAAGCCATTTTTACTATTATCATATATCAAAATATTCACAATCCAAGCTGAAAATAATTTTATGTTAATTTAATCCTGATTCACTGAAATATACTACTCAATAGAATGTTCAGAATAAATCAAATAAACGATAATTGATTTCCTTTCATCAGTTTATACGAAATCCTTTTCAACTTACAAATCATCAACAAATAACGGTCAAATGTATCATAATCTAGTATTCTAGTATCCACGTAAACAAACTTAAGTCAAGAGGTAGTTCACAAGTATATATATATATATATATATATATATATATATATATATATATATATATATATATATATCAGCAGAATACTTGTATAAATATTCAATTATGTAATAGATATACAATACAAATGAAATGCGGCGTGACGTACACACACATAAACATAATTACCAATAATATACAACACCAAATATTTTGAGGTAAGAAAAAAAAGAGGAAAATTCAGTTTGTCTATCAATATCAACGTTTTTATTTATTTATTGATAATCAGTAATCAGTGAATGTATCACGTTTCAATCAGTTATACAATTATAGAAATGATAAGATAATAGAAGATGAATAATATGGAGAAGAGATAAATGAAAACAAATAATGAACTATCAATTTGAACTGATTTCTTCAATAGTTCATCAACAGTTACATCAATAATCAAATGGAAGAGACCAAAAAAAACAACAACAAAAAACATATAAAATTGTTTTATTTACCAGGTTGTTTAGAAAAAGATACGAAATACACTATTTTTATTAGATAATTTAATGAGATGATGATGATGTTTATCAGAGTAATATGAGTTATCTATTAGAAAAGTACATTTCGAACAGTCTTCTTAAAGGATTCATCTGTATATATATATATATATATATATATATATATATATATATATATATATATATATATGAAGTAACTTGTTAAATTAAATAGATTGGAAGATAAATAAAACAAATGATAATAAACGTATACAATATGAATCAAAACACTTTGGGTAAGAAATCAGTATTCCTAGGGTAAATTTAGTTGAAATACAAATTACTTTTAAGGATATATAGAATAGTTTGAACTTTTAGATGCCTAAAGCTTCTATCATATCTTTGAGAATGTAATTTATAGGTTGGAAAATAAAGGGATAAAGGTAGAAACTGTTTTGAAGAAAATCTTTTCTTTAGTTTGATTTATTATGTATTTAACTGGAAAACTGGAGAGAAACAGCTCGTATATGTTCACAACCAAAGGTATTACATTTTTTTTACTACTATTAAACAAAATATGGGAGTTTTTAATGAAATTAGAATTTAATGATATGTATATATAATAGTATAAAGGATATATTAATCAAGGAGCTATTTGGACAAAGGAATTTCATAAAACTGATGGAAAAGATAAATAGTGGCTAGCAGTGGAATCCAGGACACGCGTTTCGTCCTATTTGAGACTCGTCAGCTGGATGTACCTGCATACCTGGATTCCACTGCTAGCCACTATACATCTTTGCTTAAATAGCTGGTGACTTAAGGCTATATCGAGGCAATCCTCACAGGGTACACATATGCCGACATAATACTGATCAATTGCAGTCCTAAATGGCAGTGAGAAGATACAAGTAAAACAACACCAAGTGATGGAAAAAATGTTTTGGTTTATTTTGTAATAAATAGTCTTGAATTTAGTATCCATTAGAAAAAAAATCAGATTATCAGAATTGTAAAATACTAGTAGGTATGAGGAAACTGTTTTCTCTCTTAATTGTGGTACTCGTTAAAAATATATAAAGAGAATAAATTTGAAATCTTTAGATCTTTCAAAGAACATTATAGTTTAAGATCCGTGAGCCACAATTCGGTAGTGTACGCTTTCAATTATAGTCAACCGGAACTTTGATATTCAATTTTGATAACGTTGACATCCATCTTTATGGATGTAATTAAACAATTTAAGTATGACTTGGATTTTGTCATTTAAGGTTAGTAAAATTAGGTCAGTCATTAAGGTTGGTTCGTTATATGTATCACAGTGAAAATGTCTAAGTCAATGAAGCTAATACTTGTTTTATAGTTCTAATTAATATTTAACTACATTTTAAAAATTTACAATAAAAAAATCAAAAGACATTGTCTGGAAAACACTATAAGCTTCTTCTGAAATCGTTCAAAAGTTCAGAAAAAAAGGTAGACTTTCTTTAGAACTGATTATATGTTAAGTTATTAATTTGAAATTCCATAAATTTTAGTGGTAACTTTGACATATTTTTGATAGATTAACTTCACTGTATTCATCTCAACTTGATTA